GGGTGTGTGTAGATGAAACAGGGGCCCTAAGTGGAAGTGGTGGGTTTTTAAAAACACCACTTAAATTTAGGGTGAAGTAAACCCCTGTGTCATGTATACCTGTGTCTTACCTGCCTCTCCGGTGGCAAGGAGGGGAGGGCAAGCTGCTGGCAGGCAGAGCAGTCCCTGAGCTGCAGGGTTGGGGCTTTCCTCTGTGGCAGCAGCACCACCCCCCCAGGTGGCACCCACCTGCAGGCACCCAGCTCAGGTGGTCCCAGGGGGCACCGCAGCTGTGGAGGGAAGGACTGCCTGCACAGTCCCTGAGCTGCATGGAGCCCAGTGCTTCACTCTGTGGCTGTAGGGCAAAAAACTAAAACTCCTTGGAGGTGTTTTAGTTTGCTGTGCCCCAAAGCCAGTTAAGGTGTATTATGCTGCCAAATGTGCTAAAGTGGCTGAAATTAATGTGCAATATGCTGCTGACGTGTGCAAATACCAACAACATTAAAGTAGTGCAAAAGCATTTAACCCACTTTAAAGTGTCATGCACTCTTGCCCCTCATTTTGTCTACACATGCCCCTTGTGAACTATGTCAATGAACTATATGTGTGTATGCTCTGATGTGGCTTAAGTTGACTTAGTTAAGTCACTGTATTTTAAGTCAACTAATATGTGTGTATTCACCCCTAGGTGTGACATTAACCACATACATTACCTGCTGTGTGCTGTGGATTACAGATGCTAGTGTGCACTAACCGTACTAGCTAAATGGGCCACCTAAGCTTGGGTGTACCCTTGACCAACAATAAATATTAAGAAAATATAATAATACCAAAATTTTGTGTGGCACTCTTCATCTGCAGACAGGCACCTTAAAGGAGGAAGATATCATCATCCTCATAATAAAGAGAGAAAAACCAAGTCACAGATAGGTGAAATGATTTTCCCAGGTTTGATCTATAGTGCCAGCAACAGATGCAGGACTAGGGCCCAAGTATCCTATTTCCTCATGTGGTGCTCAGTCCATTTAGCCAGTGTTGGCCAAACCTTTTGGCAGGTATGCCACAAGATAAATCCCACTGCCTCTCCAAGTGTCACTCTGATCCCAGCCCCCAGAGGAGTCCTTGCTCTGTTTCATGTGGCCAGAGGCTTTGAGTCCAAGCCTCTATTCCAAGATCTCCCTTTACTGAATTCCCAGGGTTCATGCACCATACACAGCAGCTACCCATGCTACTTGTGGTATGCATGCCATAGGTTGGTTATCCTTGCATTAAGGCTTTTAGCCTCCCCACAAGACAAGGACAAATATACAGACGACATATTCACATACTTACCACAGGCTGGTTGCCTGAAAACTGTGGCAAAGGGCACTGAGTAGCTTTCTCCCATTCTGAGTAGTGATCTTTACAATAAGTGACATTGTGTAGCAACAGACTCTGAGGTGTCTGACCTCGGACCAGCTGACTTAACATAAAAACAAAGGTATTCATATTTAATATGTTCCTTTCCACTGAGATACTGGCATGCTTACATAAACACTGTACTGACTGCAAAAATGGAATACCTGAAGCTAAGTATACTGGTTGTCTGTCCCAGTGCAATTCTGTCCTACTGTTTCAGGGATATTTCTTTCTTTAAGATTTTAATCATTTACCCATTTAGTGTAGTGTGTATGTCATCCTATAAAGCATATGCAAACATCACTTGAAGTCTGGAAAGTGCAGTCATTCAAGACATCTATGTCTGTTGTCTCAGGACAAATCCTTGTGAGATAAGAAGTGCTAACAGAACTACATCCAGGACATCCCAAAGTATATCTGAATAGTTGTATCAGAATTGCAGCATTGAATCACTGGCAAAAAAGCAGTAGTGCATGCAGTCATTCACTAAATCCTGACTGGAAGACTAGTGTGTGTATATGCCAGTCCCACAATCTTTCTGTTACAGGACAAGCATAGACATAACTGTTCCCAGGACAAATGCAGCATCTGTTCCTAGCCTACACGTAAAAGGTATGTTAGGTGTGCCTGTTGATAAGTTAGAAAGCAACCCTTGGAAGGGATAGAGCTTGTCCACCCCTGTATCTGAGCATCCATTGTCACTCAGGAAAATAGCAATACCTAATAATAACATTCAATCTCTTTCAGTTGCAGCTTTAAGCAATGCAACTGAGGACCACCAAATGAGTGTGAAGAGCCTAGATGAGATGTATGCTTTTTTTGAACATGTTTGCATTTTAGCTTCTTTATGGTAGAGAAGTTTAATGAAGTGAATTTCTTTGAATATAGCATTCCTCACTTCTCTCAAACCAATGAATATTAAATGCAAAATGCAGTGGCTCAGGTTTGTGAAAGCCTTGGATAGTGCCTTACCCGTGGCCTAGTGGTTCAAGTAGTATGTCAAGAATCTAAAGAGTTGCAGGGTTAAGCCCCTTGTTTAGAGAACCTGAATTTTTGGGCCCCCATTTCCCTGGGAAGTGCCTCGATCATTGTGCTAAAATGCAGTAGAGTATTTTTACTCCATGTTATAGCAGGGCTACAAGTCTGGAATTTATCCTTAGATCATATATATGATCACAAACCTTCCTGGCCAGCCTGAAGCCTATTGTACATGCCCAGTAACTATACATCTATCCACTTATACATCCAGATGACATGTGGAATAGGATCATAGACTGAGTATTAGGTGCCAAAATGGCACTTAATGAGTAACTGCTATTTGGGTATGTAAAATGAATAGGATTCTACCCTTTCTGTCCAGTTTTGAGTACTGCACTTCAAGAAAGAGCTGAACCAATTAAATGGGTCTAGAGGAGAGCAAGAAAAAATGAAGATTAAAAGAACTGAGTTTGGTTAAAGAAGAGAAGACTGAGGGGAGATATGATAACAGTCTTCAAGTATATAAAATATTACTGCAAAGAAGAAGTTTAGAAACTGCTGTCAAAGTTCTCTGGGTACAGTAAATAGGGACTTTTGCAACAAGGATGTGTAACAGGGAGCCAGAGACTCCTGTTACCGACAAAGGAGAAAACACCAGGATGACCACTGTGTATATAAAAAAAAAATCCAAGATAAGATCTGCAGACTATAAATATAGGCAGCTGCAGGGAGGGAGAGAAGCTCCTTAGCAAACAGGGCAAACACCTGAGAGCCAGTAATTCACCAGCTCCAGGTGTGATGATGGATGGGGTAGATAACGGCAGGCCCTGATGCAGTCAGAGGACAGAGCTCTGTGAGAAGAGCAGCAGCCAGAGAAAGCTCCACAGGGAGCCAAGCCATTACAGGGCCACAGGGTAACCACTGGGGAGCTCAGGCAGGGGACACAACCTTTGGGAGCAGATTGAGACCTGGATTAGGAAATGTCCAGACAGATTTTTTTGCTCTGAGCAGGGAGGATTTTGCTTGTGTGAAAGCAACAACCCATTCTCTTTCCTTGCATGGCTGCTTGTGTGGGCCTGCCTGTGTTAAAGTGATAGCATGACTTTGTCCTTACAATGTTGTCTTACCCAGTAAAGGGAGGGTTTTATTAAGCCTCGAACCTGCCTTTATGTTGTGTTATAGCCAGAGGGCTCCTTTCTTTGTTATGGTTTAAGATTGGTGTAACCTATTCCATGGGTTGGGACTATCAGGGGTGAAGGAGATCCCAGCAGTGCCCAGAGCAGGACAGAGACAGGGCCAAGAGGCCCAGTGCCCAGCGAGTCGCCTAGTGAGGCTATGGAATTTCCATCACTGGAGATTATGAACAGCAGATTAGACAAATCTTTGTCAGGCATGGTTGAAGTACTGTTGAATGAGTACTGTGAGGGAGATGGATGGGCTCGAATCTCAGGGGTGGCCAACCCACGGCTGCAGAGCCACATGCAGAGAAAGGTCTCAGCAAACATTATTGCACGGTAAAACCATGCAGTAATTTATCAATCAGCCCAATAAAGTCTCAAAAATGCTTGTGCAGAGCCATTAATATAAAATGTATCCATCATTCACTGATTTGGATCAAGGTTTGATTCTTCATTCAGAATGTTTCCAATTCCCAGTAATGAATGATCACAAATACTAACAAATTGACATTTTTTTAAAAAATATTTCTTTGGTAAAGAGAATATTTGAGTGAATAATTCCTAGGAAAAAATGGTGTACTCAAAGTATATAACTCTTCAGAATTTATGTCTAAGTAAGTGTTTCACAGATTGTAATAAAAAAATCCAGAAAATCCTGTAAAATACTATGGTTCTCTAAAACAAGAGACAGAGAGAAAAGAAACTTGTAAACTCATTTGAGTTGCCAATATCCACCATCTATTGTTTTCCCTCTCAAAAATAAATAGCTCTTTAATCACACTAAACAAGATCTATATCTAGAATAATATATGTGTCTTTTACACACACACAAAGACAGAGAGAGACTTGAATCACATTTGATCCCAGAGACCTTATATCATCTTATTAACTCAACATATGTCATATATCCCAATATAGCTATATATGTACTCACCCCATTCCATGGATAACCAAACCAATAAAGAAAAGCAGGAATAGGTGATGGGTATACCAGAACACCTCAAAGAATGACCGTCTGACGATCTCTGTAGAAGAAGTCAAGATCAGAACTAAAGTCACAGTGATTACAACGCCCGTTACTCCAGCTATAGTAGTTAGTATCTCAGCTGTTGTGTTCTAGAATAAGAATAGATTATTATATACAAAAACTAAATCAAAGATACATTTTCAACATAAGAATGAATATAAATAATGAAACCAAACAAGACATCCTCCCTTCTATACCTGTATAATACAGGTTGCATGGGGGAAAAAAGTCATCATTTAGGTTTATGCTAGATATGGCCATAAATATTAACAACAGGTTTTTTTTCAGGAACTGATAAAAGGAAATTACATAATCCCAATAATGCTTTTATATATTTTTGTTACACTCTCAGAAAAGAGAGGAAATTACTATAGATGAGAGCACATAAAAAGGAGGTAATAATCAGAACGTCACTGAATACTTCCCCAGTCATTTTGAGGAAGATAACTGAGGGGTGCTCAATAGCCTACAAGCTTTACAAACCACAGTGATACTTTGCACTTATTTCACCATATAGTGCAATTGTAGTCTGAAAAGTTGCTGGGTAAAAGGACAATCTATCACTTGCTAAATCAGGTTCTTGTGCATATCCAGAGGTCCACGTGCTGACTTTAGTGACAGCAATTTCTAATATTTTTTTCATGTTAATATTAACTCCTGTTATCACTGAAGGAGCAATACAGCAAAAAAAGAATGGGCTAGATTCTATTTCTTCTCATGTATTAACATTAACAGATATTAGAGTCAATCAGTCACATCAGTGCAAAACCACCAAAATGCAATGGGACTGCTCTGGTAGGAGAGAGGACACAATTTCAAGACAATGACAGAGATGCTGATTTCAGTGGTTGCGTCTACATGAGACACTGACTGTGCAGTTGTTACTGCACTGTCATTTAGTACTTACATACCTAAGTTCTAAATGACTGTGGAGTAACTGGTGTTACCGTGCAGTAGCATCCTCACACGGCTTCCTGGTGATGCTGACTGTGCAGTAGCTCAATACTACTGTGCAGTAGCATCTTGTGATGGTTCATGCCACGTGACGCTACTGCGCAGTAGTAATGAGCTACTGTGCAGTAAGCACCTTGTGTAGATGCGGCAAGTGTCAGAGAGTAAATCAGAAGTAACTCCAACAAAATCAGCATAATGACACTGAAGTAAAACAGATTTGGAATCAGATTAAATTTGGTTGTAGTGTGCAACTGCAAGCATCATTTGTCCTCAAGAATCAGTGCCAATGGTGTTGATAAGAAAGAGTGAAAAAACTCAGCTCGTCTTCCAGATCCCAAGTTGACTTAGCAGGGTTATAAAGAAGAATATTTTTTACTTGTAAAGGGAACTCATTTGATATGGAAATCCTTGAGAGAAAAATTCCACAGTACTATTTTAGAGACACTTTTTACAATAAAACCACTCTTTTAAATGTTCACATTTGACAGAATACAGCATATTTTCAAATTGGTGCCTGTGAAGAATATGTTCAGATCCTATTACATGTTAACAGGATTGATCTAGGTGATATTTTGAACATTTACATTAAAGTGGCTAGTTTGAATGTTGAGATGAAACAATGAAAAATGTCAAAGCTTCTTCATATGCTGCTACTGCAGGGGTACAGCTAAACTGAAAAGAAAACTTAAATTGCCGCTTCAGAACTTTCTTCTGTGAAGGTGGCAGCAATCTTTTGTTGGCATGTGAATGAATTTGCCCTGAATAAATTATGAACAAAATTTAAACACTGAAATGCAAGTGGATGATAAAAGAAATGTGAAAATAAATTTAAAATGGTTTAAATATAAAAGAAATGTGAAAATAAATTTAAAAAGGTTTAAGTTGGAGAAGAATCTTAGAAAACTTAGGCACTAATTCTCAAAGGTATCAAGGTGCCTAACTCCCACTTAAATCTTGACAGACAAGGCTTATCCCAGAACAGATGGAAGTAAATGGCTCAGGATATGACTGGACTTCTCTTCCTTTAAAAACTTTTTTCCTTCATTGATGAATTCACTATATGAGCAGCTGGAGTTTGGGGGCAGGGGTTTTTCAGTAGGGGTTCTGAATTCCCTTCCTTTGCTCAGAGAGACCTGTCCAGCATACCAGCTTTCAGATTAAGACCAACAGGTATGGTCAATTGGTCCTAGGGAGGTAGTTTGTTTACCAACATTTTACATATTCTGTTTTTTAGTTATTTAGATTTGATTTTTTTTCAGGTGCAATAGTCACATAATTGTGAAAATAAAATCAAGTAACTTCAGATAGTTTAACCTGCAGTCACTGAGGGGAAAAAATTGCTGTTGTCCATTGGTGTATATCAAAAGAAAGGGTTTCTCTACACAGTGAAGCTATCATAAAATAAGCTAGGGAATGAATTTAAAGCACAATAGCCACAGCTTCCCATGTGGACACATGCATTCACCACTAGGGAGTGCCTTTGTGCATTTTAACTTTATTCATTCCCTGTGTAGACAGGTTCTGAGACCAGTTAAGTCAGTGAAGTTGATTCCTTATGTAACAATGTTAAATCAAGCCCCAAATTAATATCTTACACACTGGGTAAGTCTACATGAGATGCTCTACTGAACATTAGACTAAGTTCCACCATCTACACATGTGCATCAATTACTGTGCATTAAATTAATTTAATGTGCCATTTGCTAGTACCAGTACTTACAGATATTAGAAAAACAGCACATTAACTAATGTGCTGAAGCCCACATGTAGACCCAGACCAGGAGCAATTTGCTCCTGGTCAGCCCAGGCACCAGGGGGCCACTGCTGCATGTCTAAGCCCCAATTCCCACACAGCTGGGAGGGAGCTGCTCTGCAACTAGGACAGCTCCTTCCATCCTGCAGAGATAGGAACCAGTCCCAATCTCCCCACAGTTGGGAGGCAGCTGCCCCCCAGAGCCAGGACAGATCTCTCCACCTTGCAGAGATTGGGACTGGCCTCTGTGTCCCTTGCCAGCCCAAGGATGGTACCTGGGGGAGCCTGAAGTTCCCCTGCATGCTGCAGGGTGGGGGGCAGAGCAGGGCGGGAGCAACCTGGACTGATCTACTTCCAGTGGGAGCAAATTTGCTTCTGATGAGCGTATGTTCAGATGCATACCCAGGTGCAGTTTAACATGCTTAAATTTTTCATGCAGAAAATTCAGGCACATTAATTGCATGTGTAGATGAACCCACTGAAAGCCATACTCAAGCTGTAAAATAAATCTTATTATGTGCTATTAATGCTTCACCCACAAAATTTAAGTTATCACCTTGTCTCTGTCTGAGAGAAGGTATTTTGTAATATTCCACATATCAGTAACTTAATTTTTGAAGTCTTTGGCAGGGTTATTATACTTTCCACTAATTGTAACATCATTTGGGTGCTTACACAAAATTAGATTTTTCACATGATTGGGCTCCTGAAAGTATTCTACATCCATGACAAACTCATGTGCCTGGCTGCAGAGTGCTTTTAAAATGGCTGATTGCATGAAAAATGAACCCTGGTCAAATGAGGTAGAGTGCCTTAGTGAAGTTGTATTCCTCCAGGGTTAATTTTTCCCACTTTGCAGGGCTGGGCTGGTGGTCACCTTGGCAAGCACCAGCTTCACCCTGCCCCTGGGGCTGTCAGCAGGGGAAGGACAGGGAGTGGGAAGGGGAGGGAGCAGCCAACACAGAGCTGCCATCTGCTTTGTATGGCCAGAGCTAGAGCTGAGGTGGGGGAGGCAGGGTGGGATGGAGCCTCCCTGCCTTGTGAGCCTGGCCCCACACTCCCAAGACTCTAGCTGGGGCCCATGAGATGAGGGAGCTCTGCTCCATCCCCTCCTCCCCCTCAGCCCTGACTATTCAAAGCAGCCAGCAGTTTCATGCTGCTATTATCCCCCCTACACTTGACAGCCCCAGGGCTGGGGGTGTGGGACAGGGATAGGGAGAGGGGGGTTCAGCAGGCTCCTCAGAGGCAGCTGGAGGACCCTGCCTGCTGGCCAAGTATGGTGCATGCAGACTCCAGGCCTGCTCCCTCCCTACCTCCCGATCCAAA